TTTTTATTTTACCTCCACTTGTTCCTTTTCTAATGCTCTTCCTTTCTTTATGTAGACCCAAGTTTCCAGCTTTTATAATTTTCCTTCTCTTTAAAAAGCTTTTTAAATATAATTCTTTCAGGGCAGGTATACTGGCAACAAATTTCCTCAATATTTTTTGTCTGAGGAAGTTTTTATTTATCCTTCATTTTTGAAGGATAATTTTGCAGGGTACAGAATTCTAGGGGGTTTTTTTCCTCTCAAAATTTTAAATATTTCATTCCACTTTTCTTGCTTTTATGATCTCTAAGGAGAAATCAGATGTAATTCTTTCCTTTGTTTCTCTATAGGCAAGCTGTTTTTTCCTCTGGCATCTTTCAGGATATTTTCTTTATTTTTAATTTTCTGAAATTTAAACATAATATGAGTAGGTGTGATTTTTTTTTTTTTTTTTGCATTTATACTGCCTGGTGTACTCTGAGGTTCCTGGATTTGCCCTTTGGTATCTGACATTAATTTGGGGCAAGTTCTTAGTTATTATGCATGTCACTACATATTCTGTAACCAAAACACCTGTTTTAATGACTATTTAGATCCTTCACCTTCTTTTTTGGCTATTCCGAATGTTTTAAGCACAAGTACAAATTCTGCTTGTTTTAAAACATGATTATAATTCCTATCAGTCATGCTTGGTCCTCTTATCTGCAGAAGACATCACAGGGGGGCTTACACTTTATTTTTAGAAAATGATCCCAGCTCACTTGATATCACTCACCAGATCCTCTGTTCAGCGCCAATGAACATTTCCAAGCATAGCCAATTTGCTCTTACAGCTACTTGCTGTATAAGCCCAGTCAATGCATCCTCTTTCATCTGCTAATTAGAGAGGCAGAGCACTGACATCATTGGCAAAGAACAGCTCAGATACTTATTTAGATATCGGTATACAAGTTCTTCTATACACGAGGGAGGTTATTATTACACAGTTGCCAACACACACAGGCAAAACCAGGATTTGTAAAAGAGACGGGGAGGGAGGAAAAGATACAGTTTTGGAAGAGGAAAGGTTTATCTTCATTAAGCTCATTAGCTGGAAGGCATTAAAGAGTCAAAGTATGAAAGGCCAGTGTTGAGTGGGCTGACTGCGTTATGGAAAACCATTTCAGATATTTGTGAATTTTCTGTAAAGCCTTTGGAGTTTGGCTTTGAAGCACGTATGACAAGCTATCTAATGTTTCCCCGTGTACCATTAGCATCCCCACTTAGGCAAGCCAGGTTAGTACCATTAATTTCTCTTATCAGAATTTCTCATTCTCCCTTTTGGTCAAAATTAGCTCCTAAAGGAATGAATTCAGTCATGAGGATTTCATTACATTTTTGAGAAAATATCATCAGTTGGACATTGACTTGGGATAATGGCCATATAACATTTCACCATTCAGATATTTAACAGTGGAAGGAGGCAACAAGTATGAGGACAATTGCAAATCTCTAATTAACATTTGGCATCCTGTTTTTATCCAGATTTTATTTAGGCATTCATACATTTATGTGATAAGTATGAGAAGACCATTTGACTATGTAAAAGTAGTTTAGACTGCATATTGAGGAACTAGAAAGTAAACATAACAAATTCTTGTCTAAATTTAGTCTATCTAATTATGGAGGACAAATACCCTATGTGTAGACAAATCATAAAACATAATCATATGAGAAAATAATTGGACCACTGCTTGCATGATGTTTGTGTCTTTCTTGATGTTCCTTGGATTCATCGAGAGGCTTTAGTATGCTAATAAAAAGAAGCTGACCCCTGTATGGTAGGGATTTTGTTCCTGTCTTTTTTAAGTCTCCCCTAACATATTGTCCTTTATTAAAGTCAGAAGTTCCTATAGAGACCTACTGTGTATTTTCATTATCCTGGCTCAGGAATTGCATTTTTAAATATTGATAACCAATGGGTAAACATGAAAAAAAATCTACAGGTTTAGAGGGAAGAAGGCTTTGATACTTAGAATTACAGGAACCCATATTAGTGCACATACAAAGCAAATATACACAGTAAGTTCTATCTCTGATCAGAGGGAATGCTATTAACTTCTTAAACTTACAATTATAAATACCATGAAATACCAGAATCTTCAAGACAGACAAAAATAAACAAGGTTAACAAACTCATTTTTCCTGTTTTCAGCCACCTACCACACAATGAACTCCACCTGGCAGAAATCACCGCCAATGTTCAGACAACCAAAATCCCATGTCACTGACATCAGAGGGGAAAAATATTGAATAAATGCAAATCTGAAAAATGCTTTGGCTTGTAAGAGCCGAAAAACTCAGTTACTATCTATAACACTCATCAGACAAGCCAAGGAAGGTGAGCTGAGGACCAAAGGGATCTAAGCTGGGACAAGGTGCACCTTCAGGGTACATGCTCCTTTTGGCTCTAATGGTAGGACTCAGGTTGGGAAAATCTTGATAAAATTCTCTGGGTTGTTGTGGAGCTCTCTTTGTCCTGAGCCCTGTTCCCTGCTTTCTATTTTCTTGGGAGATTTCATTCAGCCCTCCGCCGCTGCTTCCTGTGGTGATTCCAAGAACGGTTGGGGCTGCCTTACTCTCCCCAACCGTTCTTGGAAGGTGGAGTTGCATCAGAGGGGTTCCCATCAGCCCTTTTAAAGGCTTCCATAGGTGAAAGCTCAGAGCACCTAGGGGTTTTCTCTCAGTTCTCCTAACTGCTCCCTCCCATTTTGCAGTATTGCAATACTAAGTTCAGCAGCTGTTCGTGAAGACAAGTGTGACAAAGAGCTGGGGATAGCGCAGTCTAACTATTTCTGAGGCTCTTCTAGGTTCTGTTAGGCCAGCCCCACACATGGCCCAGAAAGTGATAAGAAGTTAGGCTGGTTTCTCCTGAACCCCATTTATGGTCTATTTCTCCTTTCTTCCTGCTTGGTTGTGGCTCTTTTCTGTCTTATAAAGATCTTGCCATTTCAGATTTTATTTATTTATTTTTAGAGACATGCAAAGGGAGCAAGAAAGAGAGGGAGAGAAACATTGATCCCTTGCCTCTCACAAGCCCCCAGCTGGGGACCTGGCTTGCAACCAAAGCATATGCCCTGACTGGGAATTGAATCGGTGACCTACTGATTTGCAGACTGGCCCTCAATCCATTGAGCCACACCAGCCAGGGCAAGGTCTTACCATTTCTGGAGTTTAGTTCAGGGGTTAGCAAACTTTTTCTTTAAAGGTCAAGTAGTAAACATTTGGGGCTTTGTGGGCCAAGAGGCAACATCGAAGATTTCTTATGGAAAAGCCTGTTCATGCTGAATAGTCTTTTTCACATTTATAGTTAAAAGTGTAAAAATAAGGGTCAGACAAAAAGAGGGATCAGCTGGATTTGGCCCGTGGACCAAACCAACCTCTAGTTTGGTTCATTTAGGATTCTTTCTGCCTTCACTGATGGATTTTTTAAAATGTATAATTGTTATCTTTCAGCTTGTTTTTTTTGATATGATCAGAGGTGTGTACCAAAACCAGTGTGCTGACAACATGCCTCTATCTGACCCTGAAACTGATTTTTATCCCAAGGCCTAAATCATTTTAACCGTTTATATGCACCAGAAATGTGTGGAAATCCATATATGGTTATTTTCTCATTGGATGATAATTGAATAAATGTCCTAATAAAATTTATATATCTTTCAATGTTAATAAACCAGAGCTTATCCACTGATACTAGTGGTAAATAGTTTTACTATTTGTGAATTTAAGGCAACCAGAGGTATAGCTACCCTTAGGCCAGGTATTAAGTATACATTAGAATATATATGTATATATGTATACATTAAAATATACATTAATTTTTTATTCATCTCTGTAGATCTAGTCCATATATACCCACAGAACACAAAAGTGATTTTTGTGTGTGTGTGTTTTGATGACCAGAATGGTTCTACATGATTTTCCAAATGATGGTGTTTGCCCTTTAATATGTTTGCAAGCATGTCTGGATGCTGTTAATTTAGGATGCCCCATTTTGTTTTTTAAAAAATATGTCTATTGATTTTAGAGAGGAAGGGAGAGAGAAACATTGATTGGTTGCCTTCTGTATGTGCCCCAGTTGGGAATTGAACCCCCAACATTTTGGTGCATGGGATGACATTCCAACCAACCAAGCAACACTGCCAAAGGCTAGGTTGACCTCGTTTAATTAAATTAACTGATTCATTGGTTGATTAATTAATTTTAAAAGAACATTTTCTTTACTAGGGGAAGGAGGTAATGGAGATTTTGTCTCATGGCCACTGAGTTTCAGTTTTGCAAGGTGAAAACGTTCTGGAGATTGATTGCACAATAAGGAAAGTATATTTAGCACTACTGAACTGTACACTTAGAAATGGTTAGGATGGTGAATTTTACATTGTGGATTTTTTTTTACTACAACACAAAGAATTTGCTTTAAAAATATTGTTACATAAATAATACCTGATAATTATGAAAAAACCAAAAAATACAGACAAGCAAAAAGGAAAGTAAAAACTACCTACAATTCTACAGCTAAGGTTAACATTTTTTTGGATAAATGTGTAAGTTATACATGTGTAGGTTCACACTGAATATGCTGTTTCATATCTGACTTTTTCAAAGTTTACACTATTTTAAAACATACTTTAAGTTCTGTGTTTTAGGATACTTCCCACTTCTATGAACTCCAAGGCCTCAAACAGAAGTGAAACTGCACATTTAGAGGTGCACACTCCTCCATGGAGGCTTCTCCCTTTAGATCACACGTCCTCTGGAGAAGAAAAGGCTCCCCGACTCCTGATCTGTCAGTTGGCTCTGCTGACATCATTCAGTGGTTTCTTTTAATTATGTTCATATCTAGGCAAGCTTCTGGTGCTTCAGGAACTGACGAGTGTATTTGTCCCAGGTCTCCTCAGTCACGTGTCTGTCCACTGGGGTCATGTAAACACACCTTACGGCAAAGTTAACAATTAAATTGTTGAGATGAAAGGTCAGGAGACCTGCCTTCAATTGGAACATCAGAATGGGAGATGACACATTGCTACTCACCTTCCACCTTCTCTGAGGGAAAGAGTCCATAAGAAACAACAGTCATACAGGAGTCTGCATTTCAGAAGAGCTCCAGGAATCATGCTGGAGAAGTTCTGCAACTCTACTTTTTGGGTGAGAAAGTATACTTTTCCTCTTTTCAGACTCAGAACAAGTAGTAGATTAGCCTAGAGTGTCTACCAATAAGAACCAGAGAAGTTAGATATGCGGTTGGTCTAAAACTCAGGGTATTTTTAAAATAAAAGAAGGCTGTAATATCTCCAGAAGATATTCTATGTGGAAGAAGTAATGTATTAATTTTATAACACATGTTTATTGTATCCCAGACTCTTTTCTTGGACAAGCTATCTACAATATTGCCTATCTAAAGAGAAAAAGAGAGATGGCTTCCAATTTCATCCATGTTAGGAGTGGGAACTGGGTGATTTGTGAGGTAGGAGGAAGCAGAGAAGGTCCATGATTGAGTCCGGTTGAGAAGTGTTAATGCTGAAACAGTAACGCTTTTCTCTAAAGGAACTGGCAGTTAGTGACATGGACTGGAAATTGAGTCCAGGGATGCAAATACGGGCATCATGAGCACTGAAACAAAGTCGAATGGTTTGGTGGAAGAGGGAATGAGAAGGGACCTTGCATTTAGTGATTTTGTGAAAGTGTGGCCTACAAACTCCTAGCGTCAGCATCAGAATTACCCAGATTGTTAAAAATTGTAAATATCTTGGATAAGAAGTCTTCTTAATTCTAAAGTTGGATAACCTCACAGAGAGTTAAGAAGAGTAGGAATGACAGAGCAGAGCACATGGGTGGCACTTCCCAATCTTAGAAAAAATCTGCGCTCCAAGGCCCTCAAGGCAGGAACTGTCTGCTCCAGGAAGGAAGAGCTTAATTGGCCAGCCCTTGAGAATTCTTCTGGAGAATTATCTGGCAGGTCACCGTGGTCAGGGCACCTCATCCTTTTCTTTAAATAGTCTGTGCAAACAGTCATACAAAACAATTCAAAAATATTTATTAGGAGAGAAAAAACTACCTTCATCTGACTCAGATATAAAAACTAATCCCCCTCATTTCAACTCACAAGATGCTTCTCTTTATTGCAGAATGCGGACTAGTGCAGAACTTGCTGGAAATAAGCTTTCTGTCCATTAGTGTCATTGCCACTTCTGTGCTGAAGGCCCCCTCGGGTTCTGACAGAAGCCCTTGGGAGTAGAAATGTCATAGTATGACTAAGCATGCTGCCTGCTCTTTTTTAAAAAAAAATCCTCACTAGAGGACACATTTATTGATTTTAGAGAGGAAGGGGGAGAAAGAGAGAGAGAAAGAGAGAGAGATGGATGGATGTGAGAGAGAAACATGTGCCCTGACCAGGGATGAAACCTGCAAGTTTTTGACGTGCAGGATGATGCTCCAACCAACTGAGCCATGTGCCAGGGCTGCCTGCATGTTTGAATGTATGCCAGCAAGTTCATTCAGTGGGAAAAACTAAAATAAGGGGTTTTTATATCCCAAGGAACTGTTCTCCTCTTTGGATTAAGGAACTGTCCCTCTTCCCGCAACTTGGCAAATGTAATGGTGAATTTTAGTCAGAATAACTGGTGGGGAACTTTGCTTAGAATCACAGGAAGAAAGGTCTTTAGAGGTTGAATTGGCCAAAAAGTCACTAAGCATCATTGAATGGTAAATTTATATCAATGGAGATGAATAGAAACATGTAGCTAGTAAAATGGTCAGGCTGGATGTAAATATAGATCTGAGTTAAAATTGCTTGGAAATGGGTTGGGGGTGGAGGGTATGGGCTATGGCTGGTCTCCTGTCTTCAAAAACATGTAAGCAACAAATCTTACATTTTGGTCCCCCAGAATGCCTCATTGCTGGATAGCCCGGAGGCGGACCTGCCGATTTGTTTTGAGCAAACTGTTCTGGTCTGGATTCCCTTGGGCTTCCTTTGGCTCCTGGCCCCTTGGCAGCTTCTCCATGTGTACAGATCCAGGACCAAGAAATCTCCTTTAACCAAACTCTACCTTGCTAAACAGGTATGGAAAACCCACTATTTGCTGACTAATTCCTTGGGGCACCATAGAGACATTTTCCTGGTGGTTAAAGTGTCTTCTCTGTCTTTAACCCACTTTCCCAGGTGCTATTTTCTCAGGTAGAGCCATGTTTTGAGTGTCCGTCTCTCCACCTGTCCTATGCCTCTCTGGTCCCTTGCTATATTTCTTACTTAAGGTGACTTTGGTTTTTCCAAAAGAATAGTGACTCAGGTATCTTATGGATAGAGGAAACCCTAAACACCAATAATGGGTACCCAATCAGTCAAATACATGGGTATTGTTTTCAGTATTTGAGAAGTGAACACTGGTTTCCCTATCTTTACGCTGTTTTAACCTATCAGGAGACTGTGATTCAGTTGGCACCTACCATGAGGTGAAAATGAACTATGTAATATGTCCTCTGCACCATTCAGTCCATCCAACCATCGTCACTCATCTCTCCAAACTTGGATCTGAAATGGGGCTTTCATTCTCCCACAGTCTTCCATAAGTCTAGATGGTCACTCACAGCAGAGGGAGAAAAGGTGTGTGCTCACAGTGACATGCCTGAGCAAGGAAATAGTGGAAAGAGCAGGGCCTGCAGGAGAGAGCCCAGGAGGAAAGAGGGGAGGAGTCCCTCAGCCGGCTACACTGATTAGTGTAGAGAATCTTGTGGGAAATGAAACACCCTCAACTGAGGTTACTATCTCAGAAGATCAACCACTCGCTCCTTTTCACTGTGTTTATTTCCCCTTTACTCAGAGCTTTAGAAAGGTAAGTTAAACTCAGAGTTCTGTGAGCGTATACACCAATGACCTCAGGCTACCTGCACTAGGAAAGGAAGGAAGAAAAGAACTTGGCCAAAGGAAGTGGGATTTGCATTGACACTCTGAGATGGGGCTGACAGGGGATTTGTAGGGCTCTGGATAGGGAAAGAACCATGTCTGAGAGCTGGGGGCAGGGCCTTACTCTGCCCTGTTGGCCTGCGTGCTGAGCGCAGGACCTAGCACTTAGTAGGCATCTACTGAATGTTGGTATCAAGTGCACTCTAGAAATAAGGATTGAGGCAAGAGTGTTTTAGACTCTGAACATTGAACGATAGTCTTTAATGCCCTCGGGAATGAGTCAGAGCTTTTGGTTAGCGTATGAGCAAGGGAGCATCCAAAAAGGAGTCACTCAGACATGTGTGTGTCTTTCCACAATGCCAGGCTTATTAGGAAAGACCTCCCTAATAAGCCAGTAAAGTCACACGCAGATTGCACACAGAGAGGGGGAGCTTATGCAATAGAAATGAGCAGAGTGACCATCTAGCATGAAGCCCCCATCACTGGCGGTGCCTGCATGTGGAGATGCAGGTGTCAGTCCCAAACCAGGAGGCCGCAGTGGTGGCACACGTCTGGTGGAGTTGAAGTCCAGCTGGGCTCCGGGAACGACCCTTGGCATAGCCAAGTTTGATTTTTGGTGGTTGGAGCTCTGAGTTCTCATAGCCCACCAGGGGTGGAGGTCCCACTCATATGAGTGTGCACATGGGGTCCTTATTCAAGTGTCCAGACTTGTGGTTTAGGGCATTCTAGGCCCCTCCTAAGGATGTTCCTGTTACACCCTATTACCTCAATGGATGGCTGACAGTGACTCCATACTGGATTGTTGAACGTGTCTAAAAGGTACACCCTGTTTTTGCTCTGTACAGTCAGTCAAGTCTGGAGCTTCCAAAAAAAGAAAAAAGCCTGGGAAATGAGTAAATTGGTATCTCAATAGCTATTAAATTAACTTTTACAAAACAGCTTTCTTGAGATATAATTCATGTTACCCCACAATTCTCCCATTTAGAAACAATTCTATATTTTTAACTGTATTTACAGATAGGGGCAGCCATCACCCCGTCAATTTTAGAACATTTTCATTCCCACATAAAGAAGCCCCTTATCTCCTCAACACTCTTAGCTCTAAGTAACCACTAATCTACTTTCTCTCTCTATAGTTTCTCTATTCTAGACATTTCATGAGTGGGATCATATGTGGTCTTTTATGGTTGGTGTTTTTTATGATTGTCTTCTTTCACTTAGCATAAGGTTTTCAAGGTTCATCTATGTTGTAGCGTTTATCAGTACTTCATTCCTTCTTGAAAATATTTTATTTATTTATTTTTAGAGAGAGGGGAAGGGAGGGAGAAAGAGAGCGAGAGAAACATTGACATGAGGGAGAAACATTGGTCGGTTGCCTTTCATATGTGCTCTGACCAAGGATGAACCCACAACCCAGGCATGTACCCTTGACCGGGAATGGAACCGGCAACCTTTCATTTTGCAGGATGATGCCCAACCAACTGAGCCACGCAGGTCAGGGCTCTTTTTCTCTTTAATCATTACCCAGGGATGTGTTTACTGATTTTACAGAGAGAAGAGGGAGGAGAGAGAGAGAGATATTGATGAGAGAAATAAACATTGATTGTTTGCCTCCCATAGACACCCCAGCCAGGAATCGAACCTAGGTGTGTTCCCTGACCTGGGATTGAACCCACAAGCTTTTGCTGCATGGGACAGCACTCTAGCCTACTGAGCCACTCGGCCAGAGCAGTACTTCCATTCCTTTTTATGGCTAATAATAGTCCACTCTATAAATATATCACATTTTGTTTAACTTTTATAAACACTCATCTCTATGGAGAAAAAGAAAAGCACTGTATTAGCTTCTCTTTTCCCCCTTAGAGAATAATCCACTCATCCTTACTCCTAGTCTCAGGAGCTCCATTTATAATTTATGCTTTACTTTTGCCCTCTGCCATGGGAGTGACAAACACAGATGAGCTTTCTCTTAAAAAGTCCCAAATAATTAGTCTCTTTTCTGAAAAAGTCAGAAGAATAATTCCTCACAAAGCAAAACTTCACCTTTTCCATGAGAACCTTCTTCTTACCTCACTCCTCAACTTGATTTAAATTTTTTTTTATTTCTCTGCTTCCTCTTCTACCTGCTTTTGGGCTGTTTGTTCCTCTCTCACTCTCCTGAATAATTGTTACTGTCATTCTTGTTTAGTCATTAATGCAGCGTTCACCTCATCTGAACTTTTTTTTTTCACCTCATCTGGTCTGTTTGCTTGACCAAGCTGGTGAAAGACTCTGCAAATTTATCTGTTTAAAGGTGCATCCTGCCCTGGCTGGTGTGGCTCAGTTTGTTGGAGCATCATCCAGTAACTGAAAAGCTGCAGGTTCTATTCCTGGTCCGGGCACATGTGGGAGGCAACCAATTGACGCTTTTCTCTCACATGGATGTTCTCTCTCTCCCTTTCTCTCTCTCTCTGAATTAAAAAAAAAAAAAAAAAAAAGGCATTCTTACTGAAAGGATCTGATGCACAGTAGGAAATTGAATGTATTGAATTACAAAATGAGTGAATGAATGAATGAGTGAGTGAATAGTCCAGGGGAGCAGAAGAAGAATCTGGTTCTGGAGGTTGTGCAAGTGCTGAGGTGTAAATGGGAATGTGACCTTTTGTGTCTGGCTCTTTTCATATAACATTATGTTTTTAACATTCATCCAGATTGTAGCTTGTATCAGTATTTCATTCCTTTTTATGACTGAATAATTAATCATTGTATGTGTACAACATATTTTATTTATCTATTCATTGGTTAATGGACATTTGGGTTGTTTCTCTTCTTTGTCTATTTTCAATAATGATGTTAGGAACATTTATGTACAAGTTTTTGGATGGAAATAGGTTTTCAATTTTCTTGGGTATATATAATAATTAGGAGTAGGCTTGCTGGTTCATTTCCTAAGTTTATGGAAAGTCTGTATTTTGAGAAACTGTCGCACGTTTTTCCAAAGTAGCTGCACCCTTTTATATTCCTGCCAGCAATGTATGAGTTTCCAACACAGGAGTCCCTCCTTATCCTTTGCTTTCCATGGTTTCAGTTACCTGTGGTCAACCACAGTCCAAAAATATTAGATGGACAATTCCAGAAATAAACAATTTATACGTTTTAAATTGCGTGCTCTTATGAGTAGTGTGATGAAATCTCACCATCCAGCTCCATTCCACCTAGAGGGGAATCATCCATTTGTCTCCGCGCTGTGTACTCTACCCACCCGCTGGTCACTTAGTAGCCATCTGAGGTATCAGACTGACTGTCTCAGATTGGAGTGCTGTCTAGAGTAACGCTCATTTTACTTAATCATGGCCCCAGAGTACAAGAGCAGTGGAGCTGGCAGTTCGGATTTGCCAAAGGGCAGCCATAACGTTATGTATGTTTATGTAAAAAACATGGTATATATTGTGTTCAGTTTTATCTGCCACTTTGGGCACCCACTGGGAGTCTTGGAACGTACCCCCCTGAGGATAAGAAGAACTACTGTACTCATCTGCTCCAATAGTTGTCATTGTCTATCTTTTTGATTTTTAGGTGTGAAGTGGTATCTCACTGTGGTTTTGATTTGCATTTTCCCAATGACTAATAATGTTAAGCATCTTTTCGTATGCTTTTGGCTATTTGTATACCTTCTTTGGAAAAAAGTATTCTTGAATAAATCCTTTGCCCATTTTTTAGCTGACTTATTTGTGTCATTTTATTGTTGAGTTGTGAAGAGTTCTTTATCCCCTGAATCTGTTATCACTTTGAACGGTAAAGAAAACTTTTCCCAGAAGCCCCTACAAAGTAGTTCCCACAAGCTGTCCCCCACTTCTCCTTGGCCAGAATTGTGTCACATGTTCATGGCAAAAGCAGTCACAGGCCAGGGGAATGGGAGCATGATGACTGCTTTTATTTCATCCCATGGGTTTGGAGGTGGGTCCAGGTTCTACCCAAACATATGGCTGAGCTGAGTAGGGTAGATATGTTACAAAAGGGGGTTCTATTAGGAAGAGGAGAACGCCTTTGAGGAGGCAGCACTAACAGTCAGGCTCCCAACAGGAAACAGATGGCTGAGGCAAAACGGGATCACGTGGAGAGACCGTGATGTGGAGAGAGCTGCAGTCTCGGGTAGGCTGACTTTCCTCTCCGTGTGCT